TACTTTCCGTCCTGTTAAGTAGGTTGGTAGAACAGGAAACCACCCAGGGAGGTACTACCGTCTGTGGTAGTAGGTGTAACCAGTAAACAACCACCAGGGAGTACACGTCCCTGGTGGTAGTAGGTTGGTAGACAGCACCACCCAGGGAGGTACTACCGTCCTGCCAATGAGTGTAAAAAAATGAAAACCTGTATTTTGTTTACATGATTGAAGGTTGCTGATATCATTTTTCTGTCTTATAGAACACTCGGGAAACCATGTGTATCTTGCTTACTTCTACTTACACTTATGTCACACTAACACATACAATGGACAATCATATATATACACACTCTCTGGGTTTTTCTCTGTTTTCTTACTAGTTGTTTGTTTTCCTTTTTATTTCCTCTTATCTCTCATTGGAAGTGGAACAGAATTTTCTTCGTGTGTAAGCCATGTGTGTTTTAGATGCACTGAATTGCTGGAGTGCAAGGGGTAGTTAACCTCACCTCCTGTATGCATTACTAACTTTAGAAAGAGAAATTTCTTTTGGGCTCTCTACTCGGTGGAATACTGCCGTTTTTCTTACCATAATTAAGTCTTTAAATCTGAAATTGAGAAATTTGCTCGAATGCAAAATATCTCCTATCTCCTCTTTTTTTTTCCTTCGTTTATTTAATATCTGTATAGTGTGCGTCTTGAAGTCATTGCGTTGCGGCTTTTCTGTGGTACGTCCCAGTGTTGTGAATATTCCATCGTTGTTTATTGCCTTCCAACGTATGCAATATACATATAAAATTGAACGTTAAGAGGCAGGTGATGTTAATTTAATTCACGTGTATTCTTGTGAGAGCGGGGTTTAAGTATGATTGTTAATGTTAAGAGTAATACCACTGTTGAAAACATATATGGATTTGAGGATAAGAGGATAAATTGTATATATGGTTGATAATGCCAATTTTTATTTTGTATTTAGATTAGATTAAATGTGCAGGTCCCTTACACGATGATACCATAACAGTAGAGCCAAATTGTACAGAATGACCACAACAATTCTCTGTAAGCCATTAATACAACTCCGTCTACATTGACACTCAAAATAACCCTTTGATAAATAACAGGAACGTAGAAAATATAATTATCATACAGACAATAACTTTGTATCCTTATAGAAATTTGTATCTTGTAGATAATAATATCTTGTACGTAATGTGCAGGTATCATTTAGACGAAAATTGTAGCCTTCTTGAAAATTTCAGTTCAAAATTTATAAATTAAGTCGTTTTCAAATTTCAAATCATAGAAAACAGTGATTTATTTTTATATCACTGTTCTGTTCTGGATATCACTGCAACTACGCATACATAATATTTAAATAGGTATTGGGTTAAATTTTTTACTACATAAGTTTCGTGTCCATAATTTTTCGTAAGGCCAGTGGTTATTGTTTTTGTCGCTTCACTGCTTTGCTGAGTCTTAGTATAAGTCTTGCTTTCATGTGCACTCTTCCTAGACACAAGTGACACCTTTTTCCAACATCTTAACAGTCAATGATAACAATCAGCACTTTTTCACATTCTAGTGTGACCTCTGCTGAAGATCTCTGTGTGTTGCAGATAAAGCTGGCGATGTTTGGGGATTACACACATAGAAATTGTGACAATCAATGGGTCTGGACTTTCTCGTTGTGCTCAGTACAGTGGAGGCACGCAGAGAATCCAGTAATTGTTAAAACGACAAGGATTCATCCGCCGTACATTCTCCTGAGTTGGAATCAAAGAACGGAGTGTTGCAGGACACTGTTGTTCCCAAACGTATGCCGCCCGCAAGAACACACGTAATAAGGTGTTGCACGTCCCGTGGGGTTGGGCGTGACTCGGCCGGCTGATCACCTGGTAAACACAGGATTGCAAAGGTCCGCTGCAAAATCCTGCTCCTTCATCACTTTATGGGGGCACACCGAGGACTGCGTGGCCATCGTGAAATAGTAACTACCATCGGTGCAGTCAACTGGTAGCGAGAGGGCACTACACACCTGTGTCATGAACATTAAACGAACATATCAGCAACGCTAAGTTTGTTAAAACATTTATGGATTATTTTAACTCTCACGTTGTCACCATCTCACTAAACTCTGAACAGAAAGATAAATCAAGTATTATATGGACTGTTTCAGAAAAAATCTTAATACATGGTTATACAATTTTTCATTGGTGAATACGAGTTGGAGAATCAAGCTGTGGACGTCTACATTAAGATTCGATTACACTCGCATTATAAATAAATTTAGCACTCATTACAAAACAGTATATTCTCATGTAGACATAACTAAATATAAACTTTCCTAGATGGACGATTGTCACTCCATTGGTCATTATGTGCTGGAATGTCCATAAAATTTAATGAATTAAGAGGCAACTCAATCTCAAATGTACAAGAAATTATGTATTGTAACCCGACAGTGGTATATACCGAACCATTCTGGAAAAATGTCCCTATTTTGGCTATTGTAATTAACTCAATACCGCATATAAGCGGCACTATATTTTTTAACTTAATTCATTTCGGCATGAATAACACATTATGATTGTAACCAATATAACAATGCAAATAGCTCATACCATTGAGAACTTATCAGTCGTCAAAATTCAGCGTTCCAGTTCCTGACCTATTAGATGGTCCTCTGTATTCTTTTTGATTACCACCATACCATGGAATACATACCATGGGTATTTATATCCTGTGGTTGATATTGTGATGATAATACACAAAACTTAAGACAAAACTCTTAGTTGAGGAGGAGGTAGTAAATACTCTCCCGTTCCATGATGAATTGCTCAATCAATCAACAACTATTATTCCATTTATGAAACTAGAGCAAAAAGGAACTTTTTTTCACAATGTTTCTGAGAACTTTGTGCATAGGTTGCCCTGAGTATTTTAGATGAGTAAATTCAAAATCTATGAAATTATACTGCGTTACACTAAGGATTTCGCGGAATAAGCTTTGTACGCACAGCAGCGATGAATACCCATTATTGAAACTCCCCCACTTTAGGATAACCGTCACAAGGAAATGAATATACTGGCGAAATAGGAAAACAACATATTGTAACAAACGCTCGAATGGGGTGGGGTTTGAACCAATGGTGAGTAAGTCGTAAAACTCCAAGCGAGTTCGTCAACCACTGGGCCACTGGCTACAATAATATTTCATCCCAGCTAGGTATATTGTCTAAACAACCATAGGGAAGCTAACCTCCTATCGTGTAAATAACCTAGTTGGAAACGAATCTTATGTAGCGAGCTGGCCCATTGAGGTTGACAGCACTGGCCTGGAGTTTTAGGACTTATCCGCCAATGGGTCAACCCCTTACCCTTCCTTGTTGATTTTTCAGTCACTTATTGAGTCAAGAATTCGTCTGAAGGTCGACGAGATTAAAATGAAATACAGACAGCGCCATCTTGATGATTACTGAATAGATCACGTAAGTAATACATCATCAGATAGAATAAAAAAAGCGCTTTAAACCGTTACTGGAGACAATACCCATTAACCCACACTAGAGAGAGAAAAGCTTATGACGAACGCAACGGTCTGACTTGGACCTTTACAAAAGCCACTAACAAAAAAGAGTGAGAGCCAGTATATATAGATAGGAACAGGGCTGGACAAGAGAGGAATAAAAAGAAGTATGGTAAGCTGGTATAATATTGCAGTATAAGAAAGGAGCAGTGTAGCTTGCACAAGAGAGAAAGAGAGTATAAAATGGAGCAGTATTAATGGTAGTAGTAATAGCAGTAGAAAGAGAGTGGTAGTCATAGTATAGAGAAGTTGGTCAGTGTAAGGACCGAAAATATAGGATGAGAAAACTTGAAGACAGAACACACTAGGCAGAAGAAAAGGAAAGAAAGACAGAAAAAGGGAAAAAAAAGAAGAGAGAAGAGTAGGTGAAAGAGGAGAAGTAATGAACATTCAGTGTGAATTGAGCCATTTTGCAATCTAAAGAGAAAGGAAGGCATTACAGAGGCAAACTAGGACTAAGATTCATACAAGAAATTGTATAAGGAATACTTCAACAAGGCCGGCGACTGTGAAGGCTAGAAGTATGGATAGAACAATTTAGCCAGATGGACCAGTCAATAGAGGACTGTGATCTCCAATGAGAGATAAGAGCATTATCTACGTCACATCCTATCGCTTTTTGATGCCTTGTTTGTCTACTCAGTTCAAAACTTGCGGAGCAGGAAATAACGTAGACACACAAGGGCAAGAGTTTGTGAAATGGAAGGGTAGCCATGAACGAGAGAAAGAATTACGAAGAGTGGCAATTTCCGATTGTAGGAACTGAGGATCACAAATGCGAGCACAGACAAAAAGAGCAATAAGAACACTCTGTCTGACAGACGAAGACATGAGTAAGACAAGTATAAATGTACATACCATTGTGTAATAGAGCCTGGAGATAAACGTAAAAAACCTGTATCCGAGTAGTGGACATATATATATTAAATATATATATATATATATATATATATATATATATATATATATATATATATATATATATATATATATATATATATATATATAAATGTAAAAATATAAATATATAAATATATATATAAATATATATATATCATATATGCAATAAGATCACAGTAAACAGGTGATTTCATAATATGCAAAACAAACCATGGAAATTTTTGAACATGGTTGCTTAAACACAATCCTCCCTAATAGAGATAAATGGTTCAGATATTTGATGATATATTGTGACTTATGCCCAAAAATGTAGATATACACCATTTCCATGAAAATTAAATAGCTAGCCCCTCTAATAAACCTTACTGTTGAAGTTTGAAGAAAATAACTCATTGCTTTTCTAGATGTTTTAATTAATAAGGGTAAAAATGAATTCAATATAAATTTACAGAAAACCTACAACTAACTGTTCCTATTTCCACTATAATTCCTCGCATCAAGATAGAGTCAAACTGCTGTTTTGCCAGGCGCCCGTATGCTGCAGCAGTTATCTGATTGATGTGCGCCTCAGGAGATATGCTCGGTGTTATACTCACCCCCAGATCTTTTTCCTTGAGTGAGGTTTGCAGTCTTTGGCCATCTAAACTATATTGTGTCTGCGGTCTTCTTTGCCCTTCCCCCATCTTCATGACTTTGCATTTGGCAGGGTTAAATTCAAGGAGCCAGTTGCTGGACCAGGCTTGTATCCTGTCCAGGTCTCTTTGTAGTCTTGCCTGATCCTCGTCCGATTCGATTCTTCTCATTAACTTCACATCATCTGCAAACAAGGACACTTCTGAGTCTATCCCTTCCGTTATGTCGTTCACGTATACCAAGAACAGCACAGGTCCTAGGACTGACCCCTGTGGAACCCCGCTTGTCACAGGCGCCCACTCTGACACCTCGTCGCGTACCATGACTCGTTGTTGCCTCAATGTCACATATTCTCTGATCCATTGCAGTGCCTTTCCTGTTATGTGTGCCTGGTCCTCTAGCTTTTGCAGTAACCTCTTGTGAGGAACTGTGTCGAAGGCCTTCTTGCAGTCCAAAAATACGTAGTCGATCCAACCCTCTCTCTCTTGTCTTACTTCTGTCACCTTGTCATAAAACTCTAGTAGGTTTGTGACACAGGATTTTCCTTCCCTGAAACCGTGCTGGTTGTCAATTATACACTTGTTTCTTTCCAGGTGCCCCACCACTCTCCTCCTGATGATCTTCTCCATGACCTTGCATACTATACACGTTAGTGATACAGGTCTGTAGTTTAGTGCCTCATGTCTGTCTCCCTTTTTAAAAAATTGGGACTACATTTGCCATTTTCCATACCTCAGGGAGTTGCCCAGTTTCAAATGATGTGTTGAAGATCTTTGTTAATGGCTCACACAATATCTCTGCTCCCTCTTTAAGAACCCATGGAGAGATGTTGTCTGGTCCCACCGCCTTTGAGGTGTCAAGTTCGCATAGCAGCTTCTTCACCTCCTCCTTGGTTATATGTACCTCATCCAGCACTTGCTGGTGTGCCGCCCTGTTCTGATTTCGTGGAGTCCTACTGGTTTCCACTGTAAATACCTCTTTAAATCTTGTGTTGAGCTCCTGACATACCTCTCGGTCGTTTCTTGTGAATTCCCCATCACCCTTCCTCAGTCTGATTACCTGGTCCTTGACTGTTGTTTTCCTCCTGATGTGGCTGTACAACAGCCTCGGGTCAGTCTTTACTTTTGATGCTATGTCATTTTCATATTGTCTCTGAGCCTCCCTTCTTATCTGTGCATATTCGTTTCTGGCTCTTCGGCTGATTTCTTTATTTTCCTGAGTTCTCTGTCTTCTGTACCTTTTCCATTCTCTAGTACACCTAGTTTTTGCCTCCCTACACCTTTGGGTGAACCAAGGACTCGTTCTGTTGTTCCCATTATTTCTGTTTCCCTTGGGAACAAACCTCTCCTCTGCCTCCTTGCATTTTGTTGCTACATAGTCTATCATTTCTTGTACTTGTTTTCCTGTCAGTTCCCTCTCCCACTGAATGTCTTGAAGGAAGTTCCTCATGCCTGAGTAGTTCCCCCTTTTGTAGTTTGGTTTTTCCCAGCCTATTCCTGCTACTCTCTCCACTTGGAGCTCAACTATGTAGTCGAAGCACAGAACCACATGATCACTAGCTCCCAGGGGCCTTTCATACATGATACCCTCGATGTCCGAACTACTCATGGTGAATACAAGGTCCAACCTTGCTGGTTCATCTTCTCCTCTCTCTCTGGTAGTGTCTCTAACATGTTGATGCATGAGGTTCTCCAGTACCACATCCATCATCTTGGCTCTCCATGTTTCGGGACCCCCATGGGGCTCCAGGTTTTCCCAGTCAATCTCCTTGTGATTGAAATCACCCATAACTAGTAACTTTGCTCCCCCCATGTGTGCTCTCCTGGCCACCTCGGCTAGTGTGTCGATCATTGCTCTGTTGCTCTCATCGTATTCTTCTCTTGGCCTCCTGCAGTTCTGTGGCAATATATCTTAAGAAGTGCTTTCAAGTTTATACAGAAAGTGCAGTTTAGGGCATCACACGACGTGTCAGGATCTTGGAGATCAATGGTTTAAAACACCAATATTATGGACAAATAAACAAATGCAGTATAATGTGATACTTTATTGACTACGTTTCTCCCATAGAGTGAGCTTTATCAAGTCATAAATAGATTAGTTTGGGACTTGATAAAGACCACTGTGTGGGCGAAACGTTGTCATACTGGAGTATACAGCGCCAGCAGGAAAAATCCACCTGAATACTCACTCATATAAACTAGAACATATCCAGTGTTTAGCATTGAGACTGATGATAGAACTTAGGAGGACTGGACACTAGGAGAGACTTAAGGAACTTAAATTAATAAAACTAGAAGAGAGAAGTACCAAACAGACGTGATTGTTACATACAAGTTCACAGGTGATTAAACAGTAGATTGAGGCTGTTTGAGATGACAGGATCAAAGAGGCTGTTAGTGCCCGTGTGAACTTCATTTCAGTCTAATGATGGCAAGTGTGTGGAATGCACTATTTAAAGATGAGATGGAGGCAGTCACTATACACAGCTTAAAGAAAGGATATGACCGGGCCTGGAGATAAGAAATAGGTGAAAGAGGTCGATAAGAGTTATGAGACAGGACCAGGAACAATAAATAGACAATAGTTAACATAATTCAGTTGACAACGCTCTCGCCTCATACACTGAGTATCCACGGTTTAATCCTCAGTATTGGTGGAAACGTTGGGCATGTTTTCCTTACTCCTTCTGTCTCTGTCTGCTCACTTAGCAGCAAGTAGCACCTGAGTGTTAGTGGACTGGTGTGGGCGGCATCCTGGGGGACAAAATTGAAGGACCACAATGGAAAAAAGATAGATTGTCCTCGATGACGCACTGACTTTCCTGACTTTCAGAACAAATTTGATTTAATCTTATCTTTAAAACACACACACACACACACACACACACACAGGGGAGACATGCTAACGACGTATAAAATACTGCGAGAAATTGACAAGGTGGACTAAGACAGGATGTTCCAGCGATGGGACACAGAAACAAGGGGTCACAATTGGAAGTTGAAGACCCCTAAGAGTCAAAGGGATGTTAGGAAGTATTTATTCAGTCTTAGTCAGGAAGTGGAATAGCCTAGAATGCTACGTAGTGGAGGCAGGAACCATACATAGTTTCAAGACGAGGTTTGATAAAGCTCATGGAGCAGGGAGAGAGAGAACCTAGTAGCAAACAGAGAAGAGGTGGGGCCAGGAGCTATGAATCGACCCCTGCAACCACAAATAGGAGAGTACAAATGAGTGAGTACACACACAGAGGGATACTCACCACCTCCTACGTCAACACAGACGTAGTATCTGGTACAATCAGTGGGATCCCTCACAAAGAAACCACTTTCAACACCTGCGCAGCTTGGAGCACATATCTGCAGGCTAGACTTCACCTGTAATTACAAGAGAAATAAGAACATAAGAACATAAGAAAGGAGGAACACTGCAGCAGGCCTGTTGGCCCATACTAGGCAGGTCCTTTACAATTTATCCCACTAACAAACATTTGACCAACCCAATTTTCAATGCCACCCAAGAAACAAGCTCCGATGTGCAAGTCCCTCTCAAATCCAACCCCTCCCACTCATGTACTTATCCAACCTAAATTTGAAACTACCCAAAGTCCTAGCCTCAATAACCCAACTAGGTAGACTGTTCCACTCATCAACTACCCTATTTCCTATGTAATAAAGTTGGTAGAATTACCGACAATATGTAAAGTAAAAGGACACAAGTGCAACTAATGTGACATTTATTGTGGCAACGTTTCGCTCTCCAGGAGCTTTATCAAGCCATTAAAGCTCCTGGAGAGCGAAACGTTGCCACAATAAATGTCACATTAGTTGCACTTGTGTCCTTTTACTTTACAATACTTTCCTATGTCCTTTCTAAATCTAAACTTATCTAATTTAAATCCATTACTGCGGGTTCTCTCTTGGAGAGATATCCACAAGACCTTATTAATATCCCCTTTATTAATACCTATCTTCCACTTATACACTTCGATCAGGTCTCCCCTCATTCTTCGTCTAACAAGTGAATGTAACTTAAGAGTCTTCAATCTTTCTTCATAAGGAAGATTTCTAATGCTATGTATTAATTTAGTCATCCTACGCTGAATGTTTTCTAACGAATTTATGTCCATTCTGTAATATGGAGACCAGAACTGAGCTGCATAATCTAGGTGAGGCCTTACTAATGAATGTATAAATCTGCAGTATGGACCTCTGGACTTCTGTTGCTTACACTTCTTGATATAAATCCCCGTAATCTATTTGCCTTATTACGTACGCTTAGGCATTGCTGTCTTGGTTTAAGGTTGCTGCTCACCATAACCCCCAAGTCCTTTTCGCAATCTGTATGGCTAAGTTCTACATCATTTAACTTATAAGTACTAGGGTTATGGGCACTCCCAAGCTTCAGAACCTTGCATTTATCTACATTGAACTGCATCTGCCACTTTTCTGACCAAGAATAGAGCTTGTTTAAATCCTCCTGAAGTTCCATAACATCTACGTTTGAATCAATTATCCTACCCATCTTTGTGTCATCGGCGAATTTGCTCATATCACTAGTAATTCCCTCATCAAGATCATTGATATATATTATAAACAACAAACGGGCCCAAGACTGATCCCTGTGGAACGCCACTTGTTACAGATCCCCACTCGATTTTAACCCCATTTATGGACACTCTCTGCTTCCTGTCAGTGAGCCATGACTCGATCCACGAGAGCACTTTTTCCCCAATGCCATGAGCTGTCACTTTCTTTAACAGTCTATGGTGCGGAACTCTATCAAAAGACTTACTAAAATCTAAGTAAATAATATCAAATTCTTTATCGTGGTCAACAGCCTCAAAAGCTTTATTGAAGAAAGTTAATAAATTAGTTAGACAAGACCGGCCTCTTGTGAATCCATGCTGAGTATCATTAATCAAGCATGCTTATCGAGATGGCTTCTTATAATCTCAGCTATAATTGACTCTAGTAATTTGCCTACAATTGAGGTCAGGCTTATTGGCGTAATTTGACGGTAACGACTTGTCCCCTGTTTTAAAAATAGGAATTACATTAGCCATCTTCCACAATCAGACACTACACCTGTATTGAAGAGATAAATTATAAATATTAGTAATGGTTTCACAGAGTTCCATTTTGCATTCCTTAAGAACCTTGAAAAAAAACTCATCAGGACCCGCGACTTATTTTGCTTCAGTCTGTCTATCTGCTTCACAACCATTTCACTAGTGACTGTGATGTTACATAATTTATCTTCTTCTGATCCACTATAAAATAATTACCGGAATATTATTAGTGTCTTCCTGTGTAAAACCGAGAGAAAATAATTATTTAAAATCGAGCACATTTCATTCTCTTTGTCAGTAAGATGCCCATAGTATTAAATTAAGGGGACCTATCTTATCTCTGACTTTTGTTCTATAGACCTGGAAAAAAACTTTTTGGGTTAGTTTTAGAATCCCTAGCAACTTTAATTTCATAGTCCCTTTTAGCTTTTCTTATCCCCTTTTTAATGTCCCTCTTAATGTCAATATACTGATTCATAAGATGACCCTCGCCTCTTTTGATACGCCTATAAATTCCTTTCTTATGCCCTAGTAGATATTTCAGCCTATTATTCATCCATTTTGGTCATTTCTATTTGATCTAATTTCCTTATAAGGGATAAAACGTTTTTTGAGCAGCATGTATTGTGTTCAGAAAACTGTCATATTGATAGCTCTCTTCGTTACCCCAGTCAACAGATGATAAGTGTTCTCTAAGCCCATCGTAATCTGGCTAAGCGATAATCTGGACTGTTACTGAGTTATCCCTACTATCATACTTCCATTCAATTCTACATGTAATTGATTTGTGGTCGCTAGCACCCATTCCTCTGAAACTTCTAAATTATTAACAAGGGATTCATTGGTTTGCCAGAACTAAGTCAAGCAGGTTATTACACCCTTGTTAGGTTCTGTCACAAACTGCTTCAAAAAACAATCCTGAACTACTTCTAAGAAATCGTATGATTCTAAAATTCCCAGTCAAGAAATTCCAATCAATATGACTAAAGTTAAAGTCTCCTAGAATTACTACATTATCATGCCTTGTGGCCCTAAAAATTTCCTCCCATAGTAGTCTCCCTGGTCCCTATCTAAATTTGGGGACGGTATATCACACCTAAAATTAATTTTTCATGCCCCTCTGAAAATTCTATCCAAACAGACTCTGTATGTGTTACTTCAGACTTAATACCCGTTTTTATGCAACAGTTCAAGCGATCTCGGACATACAATGCACCCCCACCCCCCTTCCCGATACTTCTATCTACTTGGAACAATTTAAAACCCTGAATGTGACATTCTGCAGGCATGTCCCGACTTTTTGAATTAAACCACGTCTCAGTAATGGCAAATACATCTATGTTACCTGCACTAGCAACTAGTCTCAACTCGTCCATCTTATTCCTAGCACTGCGACTATTTGTGTAATAAATATTTAATGACCCTCCTATCTCTTTACCCTTCCTGCTCCTTTCTGTTATTCCACTAAACCTATTACTGTCATTGTCAATTTGTGCCACTGGTTTTCAAATATCCTCCTCATTTTGCCTATTACTAGTTCTCCTAGTACTCATGTTACTACCCTGCGACTTCACAGTTTTCCCGCCAAAACCCATACCACTAACTATTCCTAGTTTAAAGACCCTAACAGCTCCCTCCACTGCATTGGCCAGTGCTCCCACCCCACACCTAGACAAGTGAACCCCATCCCTGGCATACATGTCATTTCTGCCATAGAAGAGGTCCCAGTTGTCAATGAATGTTACCGCATTTTCCTTACAGTATTTGTCCAGCCAGCAATTGACACCAATTGCTCTGGACAACCATTCATTTCCAACTCCTCTCCTTGGCAAAATGCCACATATGACAGGTTTCCCACCCTTCTTCCTAATTATCTCTATTGCTGACCAATACCTGCTAATCAGGTCCTCACTCCTACGTCTGCCAACATCGTTGCCTCCAGCACTGAGACAGATAATAGGATTGCTCCCATTACCTCTCATGATGTCATCCAGACGGCTAACAATATCCTTCATCCCAGCCCCAGGAAAACACACTCTCTGCCTCCTACTCCTATCCTTCAAACAGAATGCCCTATCCATGTACCTAATCTGACTATCCCCAACAACAACAATGTTTTTACCTTCCTTGGCGTCGCCGTAGTGATGCTCCGAGTAGTCGACTCAAATTCGCCAGTAGCATTAACACCACTTGTAGAATTCGTCATGACGTTCTCGATGGTCTTCGTTGGGGTTTCTAGGGATGTCTCACTCACGTCTGCCAATGCTTCCTTGGTGCTCGTTGTGGGCATTCCCAGTAGAACACTCACATTCGTCAGGTAGCACCGAGAATGAGTTGGAAGTTTCCACGCAGTCTTCTGGTTTCTCGTTGTTTCTGCCTCTCCAACCGTTTTCTTAATCTTCAGTTTGGTTCCATGTTGCCCGACCACTGACCAAGCTCCCCTCTTAACCTGGGGACTCACAACAGGAGGATTACTACGAATCCTCTTGTTCTCCTCCGTTAATCGCCATATCTCCAGTTTAGCAACTCTGAGTTCTTCTCTCAGCTGCTGGTAAAGCTGCTCAAGAGAGGGCATCCTGGTTCAGATTCACAGAGAGCACACAAACAGGTCTTCACAGAGCTAAGTACACGTCTCCACCTTCGGAAGAAATGACACGTCTCCACCCGTTTTTATGCAACAGTTCAAGCGATCTCGGACATACAATGCCACCCCACCCCCCTTCCCGATACTTCTATCTACTTGGAACAATTTAAAGCCCTGAATATGACATTCCGCAGGCATGTCCCGACTTTTTGAATTAACCCACGTCTCAGTTAAGGCAAATACATCAATGTTACCTGCACTAGCAACTAATCTCAACTCGTCCATCTCATTCCTAGCACTACGGCAATTAGCATAATAAACATTGAAAGACTCTCCTTTCTCTTTACCCTTCCTGCTCATTTCTGTTTTTCTACTAAACCTATTACTGTCCTTATCACCCAAAGTCCCTGGCTTTTCAATATCTACCTCGTTCTGCTTATTACTAGTTCCACTAGAACTCGTAATATTACTACACTGGGACTTCACTGTTTTCCTGCCAAAACCCATACCACTAACTATCCCTAGTTTAAAGTCCTAACTGCTCCCTCCACTGCAGTTGCCAGTGCTACCACCCCAGACCTAGATAAGTGAACCCCTTCCCTGGCATACATGTCATTTCTGCCATAGAAGAGGTCCCAGTTGTCAATGAATGTTACCGCATTTTCCTTACAGTATTTGTCCAGCCAGCAATTGACACCAATTGCCCTGGACAACCATTCATTTCCATCTCCTCTCCTCGGCAAAATACCACATATGACAGGGTTCCCACCCTTACTCCTAATTATTTCTATTGCTGACCTATACCTGCTAATCAGGTCTTCACTCCTACGTCTGCCAACATCGTTGCCTCCAGCACTGAGACAGATAATAGGATTGCTCCCATTACCTCTCATGATGTCGTCCAGACGGCTAACAATATCCTCCATCCCAGCCCCAGGAAAGCAAACTCTCTGTCTCCTACTCCTGTCCTTCAAGCAGAACGCCCTATCCATATACCTAACTTGGCTATCCC